CGGATAGATAGTGAGTAATTGAACTGCAGTCAGAAGTATTATTGAGCACGTTCGTTGTTATAGCGTTTGTTTAGCGCGATTGTTGAAGTTGAGTGTATCGTGAAGTTGTATTCGGAAAGAATAAACCAGTTTTATTAAGTAAAGACTTGTGTCGTTAAAGTTTCGTCGGAACGAAGTTACGGAAAATTAATTAACAAACGGAGACGTAACAATATTATAAAGAAATAACGGTAGTGATTATATGACAAACTTGTAAAAGGTGTTCACCACACCAGAACAAATGCTGTTGTGAAAAATGGCTTGTACAGATAGTGTTCAGACCACTACTGTTTTTAATACCTATGGGGTTTCGAGTCTGTTTTATTTCCCAATATAATAACCTAAATGAATTTAGGCATATGAATAATGTTACAACATTTCGTCGAATACATTATTCGATATTATACAGTGGACAAACTGTTTAATGAATATATATATATATAGTGTGGTTGGAATACCATTATTATTCACCCTTCTAATTCTTGAAAATTCCTAATGGACCAAGATTAAGAATGTAGTATCTAAAAAAAATATAATAGGCCTAATACGAATGTCTTATAATTATAGTAATGCTTCGACAGCTCATAAAAGGCGTTCACGCTATAATAATTATGTTGTCTGTTTTTATAACTTCCAAATTCTCATAAAAATATAAAACAACTCGATATAAATATGTTAATTTAATTTATTAATATTCGTCTTAATTGTTGAACTTTTTCGTTTGTTTTTTTTTTTTTCAATTATTTATCTATTTAAATTATGGTACAAATATTTTTTTTTTTTTACAAGAATTACAGTATTTACCAACAGAGTGCTTACAATCTGTTAGCAATCAGTGGTGTCATGGCAACTAACAGGAGTAATACAGAATACGTAAACAAGCAGCGTGTTTTACGCTATCGATATAGGCTTATGATATATAAAAGTATTCTATTTCTCTAAATAAGTGTCTTTGTACCATAAATAAATGAACTTAATTAGTTAGAAAAAATAAAGTAGGATGTCTCACAAGTGAGTACCTTACACCAGCAAAAGTTTTATATTTTTAGAAATAAATAAATTAAAAAACTAAAATATCAATAAAAATTTCGTAAAGTTGGTCGCATGGATAATTTACTAAGCGTAGACTGTCATATGAGAAAAATAAAAACAAAAAACTATCATATTATGAATGAATCAAGAACACTAAAAAAAATTAAAATAGGCATTTTATTGTTAATAAAACAGGCAAAGCTAATATCAAACAGAAATAAAAAATATTCCCAAAACTATATGAAAATTTACAGTGTACAATAACCATAGGAAGAAAAAACAGGCTATTTAACTATTGCATTGGATTTTCGTCTTTAAGTTCTTCAAAGATGAATGTAAGCTGAAATACATTTTCGACAAAAGTCACACCATCATTTTTATAATTCCAATGAACTATATCATTTTTAGCGTCTAGTTTCCTTTAGCTGATACTGATAGCAACACTTTGTTTAGTGATAGTGTTAAACCTAAATAATTATGTGAGTGATAAGCTGAGCTTATATACGTGTAACTATGACTAATTCAGTTTTAAAGATCATAAAACAATTAAGTTCATGGACAAACAAATTGTGAAATTTCTTATAATGTAAAATCAACAATGTATAATGCAATATATCTGGATTTTCAAAAGACATTAAGTAAGGTTCAGGCTGACAGATTTTGTCATGAAAAAATTATATCTAGTTAATATTTTTTTAAGTATTCATTGTACAGTATTGCTGGTTGTCGTTCTCAAGGAAAGAGTAACATAGCAGCTGGACTTAAATATTCCTCTGTAATTGTAATATTATGTTTTTAAAGGAACAGGTACAAAATTGAGGAAATCGTTGTTTATTTCTGGCATGATGGGAAACATGTTGAGATACTTCCTTGCCATTTCATATATTCAGTTAGGGTCATTTACTATCATAGAGACAAATATTAGTTGTTTGAGAGCATTGGGTAAATTTATAAGTTGTTCAATTATTTCATAAGACTCGTATTCATCTTTTTTATTGAATAACATTTCTAAGGGTATAATTTAATGAATTTTCCATTTATTCTTGAATATTTCCAGTTGTTTTTTCATGAAATGTTTTAATTCTTTTCATGTCTTAAGCACATATAATATCTTATGGGCAGAAGCTCAGCAAAGTTTAAAATCTACTCTTGTCAATGACTTGTCAAGTGAGCCTCAACTTCCAGAAAGGGTAAGTATATTATCTTGATAAAACATAAAATAAAATATTAGTTATCTGAAATACAATCAATAATAATAACTTCTGAACAGAGCAAGCTATGTACTGACAGTAAAATTTAAAATTATCCTGGCCATCAGTATAACTAATTAATTATACATATAAAGGTTAGAATGCATTGTTTAATCAGTTGGGTACCCTCATTGTTAACAATATTTCTGTCCATAACCATTACATATTAATAACTTGTTTTACTTTACTTAGATGGACCTACAAAGCACTTCTGTACGACAATAAATTTTAGCTTTTCCCTGTATTTATTATTATTATTATATATCTGATAAGTAGTTAATATATCTATGAATCAAATTCTAATAAATAATGAACCTAATAACATTGTTTTAGTATGTTAACGATGTATCAATCAATTTTTAATTAAATTAATCAACATATAAACCTGTTTCTGATGGTATTAGCAAATCTATGAAGCTGATAGAAGAAAATAACCAACCTATGAACATTATTATGATACATTAACAATGCATGAATCTGACTCTGGTGATTC